GAAATAATGATTCGGTCAACCGAAAAATCAACGACGCCAGAGCAGCACAACCACAGGACTCAAAGCAGTATATTCACGTCATTTTCAATTCGAGTTCGCACTGATGTCCCCKGACGACTTCTATACGAAACAAATAAGCAGCAATACTCTGCCATACGTAGTGGGTTCCTTACGTAATGAAATAAATTAAATACATCATCGTTCATTATTGATATAGTTTAACAGTGGAATTCGGTTCAACCCGACTATTGATGGTATATCCGCTGTGCCAGTCAGCCATTTTCAGACTACGCGTAGTGATACGCATGGCTGCTCATCCGCATCGTTTCACACCTTAGGAAACCGACTAAGTGCTCGCCATGTAACTCTGCCGAGTGTCGACACCAAAGTTTCGGGTCGAAATAGAATGCGATTTCTTAACACTCGAGCGCCTGGCAACCGTGCGACGGTTGTTAGGGGCTGGTGTTAGGACACCAGAATTTCTTCGAACAAGACGGACAGAGTTAGCTTCTCCATTAGTGCTCTCACTCGAGCTGACGCTCCCGTCTTTCGTCGATATGGTTGCGTTGGTGGTCGGGGTAGACGAATAAATCACCGCTGCCGCAGAGAGAACATTTTCAGCGTCCATGTACATGGTTTTGTAAGAGTAGTATCCTGTCAAGACCATAACTAGCGGCCGCAAGGGCTCTACGATGAATTTCTGAGTGATCAAAAAGGTCAGCTGCGCCATGAAACAATATAGGGACAGCTTGAACGAAAAAAAACCGTTGAATCTTGCCGCGCCAGTGTTTCCGAAAAAGTCGTTGAAGGCATCGTCCCTGTCTATTCCTAGCGCGGTGCGTCCGTACATGGTGACGAGCGAGAAGATGAGCGTCGCATGCAGGCCGGTCATCATGCCTATGGCACCCGACAAATAGTAGCATAGCTCCGAGCATAGAGTAAAAAAGGCCCGTTCCCGTATGATCGTACGAAAATCGGTAGGCTGGAAGTTGTCAAAGCAGCTGATCGAAGTGGCACAAGTCAGAGCGGAAACAATGGCGTAGACCTCTATGCCGTCCAATCGAACAGTAGCCCGTTCGAAATCTTGTCCGTCCGTCGAGTCATCGTCGAGGTCAATACTGCTGCTTCTGTTGTCTTTGTTTCCGTCACCACCCTGGATTCCGAACGGTCGGTTCCGAAAGGTTTTTTCGATGTGCAAGCTTGCTTCAAACTCGTCGTATAGCTCATCGTCGTCCATTTTCATTCTTCGGTTTTGTGATTCCGGGAKAATATATAGGCTTTTACCATCACAATCTTCTGAAGACTTTCGGCTTTGTGATTCCGGGAAAGTATATAGACTTTTTCCATCATATTCTTCTGTAGACTTTTTCTCGTCATCTTCCGTCTTGACTTTATTGAGTCTACTTAAGTTCTTGCTACTTACCTTTCGCAGAATAYTCTTTAAACTTGGCATCGTGTCTTGGAGGTACTGGTGCACCTCGTTGCAACTCTCCCGAGAATAATAACGCAACGACAGCGTCAATTCTCGCCAAGAAAAGTCTATTGTTTCTGTGCTGTGTGCACCACGATATCAAAATGACATGAAATGAAAATCTCTGTRTTTTTCATTTACGAGTGAGACTATGGCGTTACGAGTAACTCGTACTCATCGGATTACCCAACGCTATTGCGCTACGCAACTGCCCAAATGAAATCGAAAGTTGAAACTCGCTAAATGATTACGAAGGCGAGAATTTCTTCCTGTTCATTTCYACTGCCCCCGGTTACAGTAAATAACCCTACTACAGTAAATAATTTCTCGAATTACGTGTTACTATTACTGTAATGACAAAGATGTAAGCGACATGAATAATGATTGGACCAACGAAAATCGTTGAATTGGTTTTTAGAATAACCAACATGCCTGCCTGAAAGACTACAGTGCCGGTAATTTTTAAATGCCGTTCATGCGGTCAGCAGTCTTCTTTACAATGCCTTAGTACGTTAAACCATCGATGTACCTTACAGTACCATTGAAAATAATAATAGCGTGAGTACTTATGGACTACTACTAATTGATTATAAATAGAAATCAATTATGAAGTGGGTCTTTTTTATGTCGCAATAAATCATTACCGTTATCCGTACGTTATTGTACCCAAAAATCACCGTTCCAATCAATTCAGGTTACCCCTTGGACTCATGCATTGAAAGTATAAAAATGAGTTACTCCCATTATGGTGAGCCATTTTTGGTCGATATTGTTTAAGTAAATCCTAGTAAAAATTAACAATTTCAGGAAGTACCACAGCCTTAYTTCACTTCTGTTTTTTCGGAATTTCTTTTCTGTTTCGGGATATAATTGCGGGGTAGAACGTAAAATCGCCACAATAAAACACTGCAATACTCGGTACMGTTGGTTAAATTGTTCTCCACCAACCAACGAGTAAGTCGTACGAACCGTACGTAAGTACCTGTTGTGGTCACCGAGAAAAGTCTCAATTTTCAATTTTTTTGGTTTCTGGTTGTTTCTGCAGTTTCAACCTCGAAAAGAATTCTTTTCAAATTTTCCAAACTAAAGAGGGTATGTAACACCTGTATCAGTGGGTACGTACGTACGTACATCGTTTTGTCGTTGCGATAGAATTTGAACACGGTTTGCAGCCAAGCGTACCGCAGTTGCAGGTTTTATGAAAGAAGAGCAGTCCCGACAGTAACCAGAAAAGTATTCAGAAAGCATTTCTGTATGTTGTATTGTCTTCGAGTATGCATTCTATTCAATGCGAAATTTGAAGTCTAACGTTCGGGCGACGGCTCTGATGTTTCTGGTTTGTTCGAAGGCCGTTAATATTGTCAATATTCTCTTGTGACACAAGAAAATGTTTTGTCTCCCTGTCAAATAAGATTACTACAAAAATTACAGCGGNAACATGCCTGCCTGAAAGACTACAGTGCCGGTAATTTTTAAATGCCGTTCATGCGGTCAGCAGTCTTCTTTACAATGCCTTAGTACGTTAAACCATCGATGTACCTTACAGTACCATTGAAAATAATAATAGCGTGAGTACTTATGGACTACTACTAATTGATTATAAATAGAAATCAATTATGAAGTGGGTCTTTTTTATGTCGCAATAAATCATTACCGTTATCCGTACGTTATTGTACCCAAAAATCACCGTTCCAATCAATTCAGGTTACCCCTTGGACTCATGCATTGAAAATATAAAAATGAGTTACTCCCATTATGGTGAGCCATTTTTGGTCGATATTGTTTAAGTAAATCCTAGTAAAAATTAACAATTTCAGGAAGTACCACAGCCTTAYTTCACTTCTGTTTTTTCGGAATTTCTTTTCTGTTTCGGGATATAATTGCGGGGTAGAACGTAAAATCGCCACAATAAAACACTGCAATACTCGGTACMGTTGGTTAAATTGTTCTCCACCAACCAACGAGTAAGTCGTACGAACCGTACGTAAGTACCTGTTGTGGTCACCGAGAAAAGTCTCAATTTTCAATTTTTTTGGTTTCTGGTTGTTTCTGCAGTTTCAACCTCGAAAAGAATTCTTTTCAAATTTTCCAAACTAAAGAGGGTATGTAACACCTGTATCAGTGGGTACGTACGTACGTACATCGTTTTGTCGTTGCGATAGAATTTGAACACGGTTTGCAGCCAAGCGTACCGCAGTTGCAGGTTTTATGAAAGAAGAGCAGTCCCGACAGTAACCAGAAAAGTATTCAGAAAGCATTTCTGTATGTTGTATTGTCTTCGAGTATGCATTCTATTCAATGCGAAATTTGAAGTCTAACGTTCGGGCGACGGCTCTGATGTTTCTGGTTTGTTCGAAGGCCGTTAATATTGTCAATATTCTCTTGTGACACAAGAAAATGTTTTGTCTCCCTGTCAAATAAGATTACTACAAAAATTACAGCGGYTAGACGACAAACCTAGAGCTGATGATTGGATTCAATTTGAATGGAGTTCCTAGTTAAGCAATGTATTTMGAAGTGGAGTATCAGTATGAAAGATGATCGAATAAGATCTTGTAAAAAAGAGAAAGCAATTCAATGTAAACAGTGATTAATGATAACTTTCCTAGCAATTGAACGTTGTTGGATGTTGAATCAAGCCTTGAGGAATCTAACGAAGATGTAGATTTCAGTTGTTCGTCACATTTCCGACAACGATCAAAAAGTTGGTATCTGGTGGAAATTATTGTAATTATCACTGTCACGGTTCGTGACGACCGTTGAGTTCGTACATATCGATGACGACGACGATCTCGACAGCGCCTCCGGTAGAATTGGTGTGGGRTCCAGGTCGACGTTATCCATCGAATCCCAAAAATTTCTGTTCCCACTTCTATTGCTCACGGCGTTGCTTGAATTGCTTATGTCATCTGCGTTTACGTTTGACACAACGCAACGGTTGTCGCTGCTGTGATCGAATTGTGAAGAACGAAAATTTTGAACTTGCATTTGCAGTTGCAGAAGTCGATATTCCTCTTCTTGCAGCTGCTGCTGCTGTTGTTGTAGAAAATTTAGTCTTTGATATTCCTGACATAGTTGGTTTTGCTGCTGGTGTTGGAACTTATTCAGTTTCTCCTGCTGTTGTTGTTGGTTGAGCGATATGAGTTGGCTGTTGCCGTGGATCTCGTTCTGTTCGTATTGCAACGGCACCATGCCAAGTTTGATGTGCGAGGTGCTGTTAGTTCCTCCGTCAATATTGCAACTCTCCTGGCTCGAGTCATAGATGATATTGCTCTGAGGCGTAAAATGCATATCCGAGAAAGGAGTGTCGACAACTGGACGCGCCTGGTGAAATATTTCGTTTTGAAACTCGATGTCACGTACTGGGACCATTGACATCACTGTAGGTGGAAAATTCATATCATGCATAATACTACCATTATGACGCGTCGGGCTTTTCTTGGGGGAGTTCATCAGGAGCCTTTCGAGAGGGCGATTGTTTTGGCCGTGACTAGAGAAACTTTTGCTTTTTGGAAAGGCAAGGTTGTTATCATTTCTAGATGGGGCAAACCTACGTTGCTTGAATGATTGAACTTCAGGAAGACTCTTCGACTTGAAAATATCGTATGATGCAGATACCGATGACGGTGAAGAATTCACCTCTAGACCTTGTCTTGTTTTTGACTTCAATTCTTTTGAAGCCTTGTGAATCAAATTGCTCCTTGAGCCCTTCTTTTTTACTTTAGTGCGTACCATGAAGCGGCACATATTGGGTGTGCCTCGAACTAGAAATTTGTGGGTATAGGAACCAACAATTCCGCCATCACCGACCGATACGCGTGTGAATCCATAAATATTTACTGCATCGMAATGTAGAATAGGTCCAAACAAACAGCGTGTACATGAGAAAAGGAATGCATCTAGTATCAACGCATCGTTTCGAAAAAAGATTAGAGATCATACATGGTCTTGACCAAGTTTACTTACATTGTCGCTGAAAGCTCTTGTACTGAGTATTATTGAAGTACTCCTTCATGACCGATTCTTCGAATCTCTTTGGATCGTGTACTTTGAATGCTTTGTCCCCTTGCCACGATATGACATCGTCGAATCCGTGACGTTCGCTTTCTTCCAGCACTATGTGTAGCTTCCATGGGAATGCAACCTCCCCGTTGCTTCCAATTTCCGATAAAAGTCTTGGCGTGKGCGCCATTGTTGTTATCAATAATGGTCAAAAACGAGAAATGTYGAAACAGAAACTGTGAGGAAGAKAAAWTTTGGAGTGATCGTATCGTACGACGAGGTAGGATCCGAGTTTTCAAGACAATCTGTATTATAGCGTGATAGAAATCTGTCACTGCGGTGTACTTATCGTCTGGGCAGTAACCATAAAGAAATGTCCMATTGTCATTACTGTAATAGTGATTTTGAGGAAATGTGTTGAGGTTTGATTAAGTAAAGTGATGAAAAATTATAATAATAAGTACTTCAATAAAGAAGGCAATTGAAGAGGTATAAAWAGAAAATAATCAATTAATGCATTGTATATATTCGATGTATTCGATGGGGAATCACAACGATAGTTGTGACTTACACTTTTGATCTCGTTTCATTTATCAACAAGTTATGGGGCAATTGTACTTTAAGTATATACATCATTCTACTTATTCAATTTACTGTGAAAAAAATCCGCATGACCGTAAAATGTTTCTTTATTTAGGGCGCTGTAACTTCGATGACTTTCTASAAAAGAAAACATATACAATGCGGGTGGAAAGATCACCATTCTTTCTTTATGTAAGAGCTTCAATCCCAAGCACCTGTTCTTGATGAGATGAGATGAAAGTCGGAGACCCCTGGATCTATTTTTGTCTTGGTAATCTAAAAATATCTATCGAACTGTTTCGAAGTGGTACACGTTATATTGTATTCATTATATCTTCAATTACTTATACACTGCGTCAAAAATGTTCTCGATATTCTCTCAAAGAACACTCCTAGTCGATCACTCCTGAAATATTATTGTTCTAAATAGTGTCGTTCGGATGGAGGAAATAATCTAAAAAGAGAGTACACGTCATGTAAAACTAAATATGTTCCAATTATATTGATTAACGTATTGTTTTAAGAGTATGGTTGGTACGAGGTAGGAAGGCAGATGAGGCAGAGACAGGTCCGGAGTCGGTACAAGTTATACAGGTCCGCAGCTCTACGGCTGGAACAATAGCCTTCAATTGCCTTCCCAACTTCTGCCTTGCTTCTCATAAACAGACAACACAACAATAGTAGTTCCTCTTTACTCCTACATACTNATGGGATATCCAACATGCATTGCGCATTTATTGATTATATACAAAATGGATATTTCTTATTGATTCTATTCCCGCCTTCTTATGGGATATCCAACATGCATTGCTTTTATTCATTATATTCAAAATGTATATTTCTTATTGATTCTATTCCCGCCTTGTTATAAGGGAATCTACAAATTTCAACGCTTCAACGCTTCAAYGCTACGAATTTCAACGAACGGACAAATAACACGAAATATCGCGTACTGAATCCAACTTAACACGGTGTAACGCGTAGCGTTGCTCTTTGCTCCTCCACCATGAAGAATCGCTCATTGTATGAATTAGTTTACACCTGCTTGCATGTGCTGCTAGTCCTATAATGGTGATTCAAAATGGTACGTTGTTGGGTGTTGACCATGGGAATGTGTATCGTTGCTGTGCTTAGTATCGTTGCTGTGCTTAGTATCGTTGCTCTTGTTCGGATCGTTGTTCCGTATCGGTTGTTGCTATCTTTGCTTTTCAGTATCGGTTGTGCGTATCGGTTGCTGTGTGTATCGTTGTTGCGTATCGTTTTGTTGCTGGGACGAATCGATGTATCATTGTTGTGGCTGTCGATGTTCTCCTTGCCGTCGTATCTCACCAAAACAAGTTGTTTGCATCAGCATCAATTGTATGATCATGCGTGAAGAACCCCTTCTTCTGTTCTTCATTGGGCATGAACACGTTAAGGATCTGATTGATGCCTACAGTGCTGGCTTGATAATTGTACAACAAGATGGCTGTGTGCAAGAGAATCTTCCTTTCACCTTGCTCCTCATACCTGATCCTATCCTTCAGCCGCGGGAACTGTCCTTGGATCATCCGCATCCCCCACTCAGACAGCTGTCTGAGTGACGTGGCTTGTCTGTTTACAGCTACAGCACGTTTGGCAGCAGCGTTGTTGCTGGCACTGCTGCCTACATTGTTGTTGAGGATGTTGGGGTTGTTGATGGCAAGGAGATCTGGATCCTTTTGGTAAGTTCGAAGAAGATATTGCTTATCGGTCAAGTTGAAGGCTGCATCGACAACAACCTTTGCTCCGTACAACTCATACATCTCCTCCATTCTCCTGTAAATTCCATAGTCTGATATGGTGCTATCATGCCAAGATCCTGGACAGTTGAAGATGGTTCCTCTAATTTTGCCATCTGGAGCAAAGATGAAGACACTACCAACATACGTATCACATGTCCATCCATTGTAAAACATGTTCTGTACTGCCCAGTTTGATGATTTCTGCAATCCAAGCTTCAGCCCATCAGCAGCGCCCCATACTCTTTGTTCTTCAAGCAGAGGGTATTTTTCACCAATAGCAGCAACATAAGCATCAATATCCTCTCTGGCAGGAGCCCTGACCCTTGCATCTGGATGGTCTTGCAAGACAAAGAGCAGAACACACCGTGAGAACTTGATCCACTTGTACATCACTGTCGATGTGAGACCAAAGGCCATGGAGAGGCCTCTTGCCACTGATCCACGAGTCCTGAACCAGTGCAGTGTTAACCCAAGACAGCATGTTGCATTTGCTTCCCTGTGGCGTCCCTTTGGCATTCCATTCCTCCTGTAGAAGCTTCTTTTGCGGATCTTTCCTGTTGCCTCATCAACCATGTACATGTTGAACACGGGCGCATAGAGTTCCATGAGACCTCTAAAGACATTGTGATCTACACCACAACAGTTCAGCAGGGCCTGCTCGTTGCCAGAACTATACAAGTGGAGGAATGGAGACTGATTCCACCTCCTGATTGAAATCCTTGGATTTCTCCTGTCCCTTCTGCATCTCTCCTCCGGAGACAGCTCTTTGTCCAGCTCATTGTGGAGAGCCACACAAAGGATGATGAATTCTAGGGACATGATTGCTGTCGGGGGAGTCGATGTCGTTCCTTGATTGTCGGGGGAGTCAATGTAGTTCCTTCTTGATTGTCGGGGGAGTCAATGTAGTTCCTTCTTGATTGTC